ACGACACCTGGGACAGGCATCATGAGGGTCCCGTTCCACAAAGAAATGGGAACACCCATGAGCACTACCTCGTCGCTGTCCCGACCGAGACATACCCTCCAAAGCGAACGTAAACAAAAAATTTACAAGCAGATAAAACGGGAAAATAAGGATAAAATACGATAGTACAAAGTACGCAACGTAGAAAGAATTTCACCCGTAATATAAATCAGAAAACGGTTAAAATAAATAACGTTTGCCGAAACAAACAACCGTCACCGAAATAAACAGAGGTCGGAAATTAACCCACGATAATGGCGGACCGTGGCACACCACCGGCACACGTGGAGTAAAATAACCGGCCGTAAAAGGCACAAAAATAATTTTCAACAACAATTAGTTATATCAATAAAGGCAGATGGGTATAAGGCACACAAACTGCGCAAAAATATGAGTTGACACTCAAACCAAACCGACAAAACAATGTTTTGAATTGGAGCAAGCTCCGTGCGTCAGCATGCAGCAGGCGCCATAAAAGGAAGAGGAAGGGAGATCACTCCGTGGCTCTGTCATCGAGATAGAGGTTACGTCACGGTAGGGAGGTAGGGATATTTGAATCTTTTGTTTTTGGGCTACAAAGATGGGTGTAGGTATTGTATATGCATACTAAAGTTATGGTAATTATTACTGAAATGAAAGTTCCTTTTAATACTCCATCTGTGGAATTGTATTCTATTTTGAGATGGATACCAATTCGTGATTATTTGAAATCTAAAGAGGTGTTTTAGTGTAAAAATGTGTCAATAATTTTGTACCTGAACACCTATATACACAGTTCAATTTTTCTAATGACACCCGTACAAGATCAGCTTCCCAAAACTTTATACAAATACCAAAACATCGTACTTCTTTTTATTCAAAAGAGTTGGTGATGGAAGGGAGCCAAATTTGAAACAGCTTACCAGTAGAACCCCGACTTCCATTCTCCCTTCCTAAATTCAAACAAAATATGATTGGAAGCATTAGGAATACAATTTGAGTCATTTTTTTTTTTTATCAAAGAAACCTCTTATATAGCTTTTTAATGGTTTTATTTACGCTATATTAGCGTGTATGCGTCAATTTTTAGTTTTTGCTACATTAGCATATATGTAATTTAGACATTTGGTTTATTACTGAATACCATATTGGTTCAGCTTAGAATAGTGTATCTTTGCTTCTGTAATAATTTTAATGAAAAGTGTAAATGACCCTTTACTTATATGTATTTAGTCTAATTCTAGTAATTTAATAAGCTCAACTTCTTTTATGACTATGCTTACTGTGAAAATAGTTTGAATGCTCATTTAGTTTCTATCATATCATGATTTTAACTAACCCTTTTACTAACAGAGGACCCTATGGAAGATTAGCTTTGCTAAACAGTTTTTTTTTATCCTCGTTAAATAAAGTTTAAAAAAAGACCAAGTGGTGATATATACGCAGTGTTTCAAAAGGCCTGCAATGGATAGAGACAGCAATCCAGCCAAGGTTTACCTCCTTTAACAACTTATTAGCAGCCTCATATTCATGTTCATGAATGAAAACAAGATTATGACAATCAAAAGGAACCCTAGGACCAGAATAGTGCAGATGAAAATCATGTTTAAAACCCTCAAGCAACTCTCTAGCCACAACCTGGCCAGAGTAACCTTCCAATGATTCCAGGGGAATTTCTATAAATTGGTGACTGGGCGATTGTTGCTAAATCGTAAAGATTGAGTTGAACATTGAGTAGCGAGTGTTTGGGCACTGAAACAGTTTCCTCTCCCAGAAACAGATCTAAAAATGAAATTTCCAGAAATGGTTTGGTTGCAAATTAGTTAACACTTTGGTGCCTACGTGTACCAGAACATTTCAAACAACGGTGACTGTAAAAAAGGTTTCTTACAAACTTTCTTATAAATGTAATCATAACACTTGGGATTCAGATCCAGTTTGGCTACAGTACTACCTATACCTTTCGGCATCTTGTGCATATAAATGAGCAAGAGCACTTGATCAACACCCCCCACCAAGATATACCATGTTCTCTTGCTTCTTAAGTCGCAACTGATGATCATATTCTAATTGGCCATTGTCTCCTTCTCCAGTTTTCCCTAATCTAACCATCCATATATATATATCAATTTTGGTATGGTTTCCTCCGGATGGGCAAAAATATAAATAGACATAAAAACTTAAAAGGCGTCAGTCCATGTCCGACATGATTTTAATTTCCCCATAAATGAAGTCATTTCTTTGTGTTGCTCATCAATGCTACTGGGATTGGCTAACATTAACTTCAAATCAACACAATCACCATTTATCAAATCAAGTCCAGTTGGGACACTGCCTTTCTTCCTCAATCTCCCTGGAATGAACTCCTTTCACTGTTCATCAGATGTTTTGTTTAAGTGACGCACAATTCAACAGCGATGTTTGCTATTGCACTGTTGTGTATTTCGCTATTCAACCTTTCAGCTTTGCTTACCAAAGGTTTTGGTTGGCTATTCAGTTGTAGTATTATGACAATCAGATACAATGTTTTGCTCTTCAACAATAGTGTAAAGGCAAAGTGTTTTTTTATCACTTATTGTAGCGTCACAGGTACCATACAATACATTCTGCTTATATTCAAATTGTTACCTTATAACACCCGATAAAGAGTTTGCATTTTGAATTGATAATCACTGAGATTAGATTGCAGAAGGTGGATATCTGCATCACGTGCTTTCTCTGCCTGCCCATCTGCCCGCTGAACTGAAAGTACTTTTTCAGAAAATCTTTCTTAGTGGAAAGCTTACAATTGATCGCGATCCATGATATTCCCCTTTGTTAACTGTTTTCGCCAAAAACCACCAAAATCAAGAATCTCTGACATGACTTCTAGTAAACACAGAAAAAATACGGACCTCATTTGATGACAGGAAAGTTTAATGTGTTTCTGTCTGAGCCAAGGATCGAACCAGCGATACTCAGCATCCTAGGACAACGTCTGATCTTACTTAAAATGTATCTTTGCTAGGGTAAGGGGCTGAAGTTATCTGCAGGAAATGTACCACAGAATGTACGGGTTAAAGTAAATTCATTACAAAGATAGTCAAGCAAATCGAGTTCCCAAAACGGCAAAGCACCATTTCAGGGTAGAGTTTATCTTTGAATATTATATCAAATCTCATCTCTCTTCAACCTGTATTTCGTTTTGATATCATACTAGTATATAAAATGATTGAAAAAAACCCATCTTTTTAGCATTCATGCTAGTTAACTATACAGTTTCGTTAACGTATATTTCAAAGATGCGATGTGCTGTTTCACGAAATGATGGAACAGTAATTTGTGTTGGTCAGAAGTTGTATGCTACCAATTTCTGTCTGGCGAAAAATATTGACCGGAAAACTATTCCTGAATTTCTGTGAACATGTATGTAGAAATAGATATGGCATCACGACATGATAAGTTTCCGGTTACTGAAACATTGTGACGGAAAGACCCGAACAATTTTCTGAAAACGTTCACGTGTATTATTTCTTTTAATTGATTGGTACGTTCATTAAGAGGTTTAATGAGTAAAAGTTTGCAAAAAATGTGAAAATCAAAACAAACATGAATGCCAATCATCGTGATGTGATGCCGTTGTTAGATATGATGACTACCTCGATCAACAATCCATAGTAATACAGTTCATTACTCATCTAAATTTTAAAATTAACAAATTAAGGTTTTCCATTTCTGCTTCAACATTAGTTGAGATCAATTTGGAGTTCCAACATTTTGGCCTCTAGCATCACCAATTAGTCCTCGAATGACGCAACAACTGTAAGATGCAGTGCTTTGTTTTGGCATACTATATTTATTACTTAATATATTTATAGGTACATTCACCAGTGTGTGTGTTACGTTCACCAGTAGGAGCATGTTATCTATGGAATATTAAATCGAAATGATATGCTATTAATCAGGTATGTGAGGGAATTTTCTCGCACACTTCACAGATGCATTTCCGTTTTTTCGTTAAGAAATTGATAAACTTAAAACGACACAATCGCATCATAACGTTACGCAGCGTTACCAGGGTCACAGCATACATTTTTGTCACAACATTGCTTGACCAACTGATAACAGCGCTGCGCCATTACAACTTACTTTTACTGTAGGAAAGTGTGTGAGAAAATAAATCAGTCCTGTTTACTGTAAACAGAGAAATCACAAATCATGGGAGTAAGATTTATTGAAGTTTAGCACTCGGTAAAGCCTCGTGCTATACTTATATCATCTCACCCTCGAAAATTTTATGTCTGTTTCACTAAGGAGTGTTAGATTTTATTAATCTTGAGAGATGACCCCTTGTACATGTATATATGCTATCCTTACAATCATAACGATATTATATATTTGTACGGTAAGATTCTTCATCATTTGTTTTATATCATACCTTGTATATGTCGTTTTGTATTTCTTCATTTTTTTCAAAGACCCACAGTTATCATTTCGTTTTTCACAACTACAATCATAGATTGCATCTTCCAGTTCCTTCATCTCAGTTTGAATTATCGCCAAGATAATTATTTCCTTCAACTCGTGACATGTCTGAACCAATTAAGTTACGACAATTTATAGGGTGATATGAAAGATTTTAGTAATCTTGATAATATAAAGGGGCTAAAGTATTCTCTGGATTACGAAAGCAGTGAACTATCTGCCTGTTTAACCCCATTACCTGTCACCTATAACGAATACTATTTATTAAAGATGAACAAAACAAAATTTTGACTTGCAGCTGTTTATTATTCATGTTCAATAAAACCATTAAAGATAGGGTTAGGCTTTATGTTTCTCCCGATGTATTATAAGTACGTATTCAAGAAGTCGCATTGCGCTCCATGTTCTGTCCACCAATCAGACAAAACATTGGAAGGGGCTTGGAAAACGAGATGTTTTGCTGATTTTTTACTAACCGTGGACCAATTGCCATCTGGTTTTACTGGTCTGATTGGTTTTCAAGAGCGAGCAAAATTGTTCCAATACAGAATCATCTGCGCCGAAATCTCCTTTTCTTCCGATGTCATTGAAAACCACCCGATGTCTTCTATATTATTGAAGAGGAATATAAGATCTACACCATGGATGGCTTTCACAGGAATACCCAGGCCTTTGAGCATAGACACAGGTTGAGCCAACAGGTACACCCATACCCTGTTTCCTGCGCGTGTCAGATCACTAGCTACTTTGCGAGCGGGACACATAAACAAGTAATCGGTGGCAGATTTTGCTAGTACTTCCCGTGAATCTCCTCGTTCTGGATACAGTTTCTGCAATTGTGCTGCTGCTGGAGCTTCCTTGCTGTTTCGCGTTTGTTGGCGAATAATGCCTAAAATTTTAAAGTAGGGAGCATTTGAATCTGTATCCGAAACGAAAGTGATCCCTTCGTCACTGTTTGAACCGAGCAGTATCCTTTTCCGACTGCTCGGAAGTTTTTGCGCAAATGCGTCAAACTGGTTCATAGGAATCTCATCACCATCTATCACGGGTCCCCAGCGCTGGTATTGGTTCTTTATCCAACTTTGACTAGTTTCTATTTTTTCATTATCAAACGTTGCCATAGCTGCTATCACATTTTGTTCACTTTTTGTCTTGAGGCAACTTATCATAGCTGACGTATTTGCTATTGTGCATTCCAATATCAGCGCGATTTCCTCCGTTTGGAAATGAGCATCGTCTTTCGGTTCGAATAGTAAAGAAAATGGGTTACTTTGCATAATAGCGGAACGAAAGTAGTTGTCCGACTTCCGGTTTATCAGATGGATCGCTACTGACGTGGCGCCGGCACTGTCCCCAAAGATTGTCACCTAGGACACCAATGCGTAACATTTGTAAGAACATGTTTTCATCCATCAAAAAATATTGATGATATCATACGAGTTTACTGTAGACTTTAAAATGTCTGATCCTAGATTAAAAAAGAAAAGGAGCAGGGTAGTTTTATTTACATCATAAGCCACCGCTCAATTACGGACGCCCTTGTAGGGAGTCAGCATATTTTTTATATTCATACTGACTGAGTCTTTAATATTTTATTTTGATAAAATACAACAGTATCTCATACTTGCCTACTTACGTTTATCAACGGTAACACGTTTGATCGGATCTACTTAAGACCGTGCGACATTATTGACACCCTGATAAGTCATAAAGACTAAAAGATAGTTTGTCAGAATATGATCACTAAATATCAAGTCTTTAAGATAATTGTGTTAACTCATAGAAACTTATTAGTAATTAAGCTCAGTTAAAATTACTAACGAGTTAATATGCTCTTACAATGATAGAGGGGTTGATCCATGATGACAAAATGTCACGACCTCTTTGGATTTCGATCAGAAGTCAGATTCTCTATCCCTAACCGACTTGACCAGTCATGTATTATATTTAAATATAATTTTTAAGTATTTTAAAAGTATTATGAGACAGGTTATTACTATTTTATATATAACGTTTGTTGGCCAGGCAGGTCGGGCAGGTAACTCCAAAACTTTTCATGTCCGATCGGGAATGGAACCTCGGCCCCCTTGGTGAAGGGCGAATGCGCTATTATGCTTCATTTGTCCATCGAGTTATGTCATACATTGAGTGTATCATTTTGATCTGTGTATTTGTAAAGAAAACAACCGAACCAAAACATTCGTTTGTATTTATTCATGCATGCTCGTATATGCTGTTGATATCAGGTTCGTGTGTAGATATATTTTGTTTTACAATTATTATTTTTATTAATTATTGGTTAACTGATTTATATAAGCAAGCAGAAAGAATGACTTTAATACGTCCTGGTCGTAGGTGTTTTCGGATTCCTATCAACACAATCATCTGATGATGACCTGACAGGCAACTACGGAATCAAAGACCAGCGAATGGCTCTCAAGTGGGTGCATAACAATATTGAAGCTTTTGGTGGAGATCCGAACAAGGTAATGGAAGCCAATAGAAGTCATGAAGGTTTCAAAATCAGCTTAACAAGAAATGTACAATTGCATTTAGGCATATTATGGTCATTAGTCATTATATGAATGGAGACAATAACCGTTTTCTAAGAAAGTATCAGTTGATGTACTTATAGCCACTTCTTATATCTGTATACTTATTTTCTCCGATTTGGGTTTTGTATGTCGGCAACAACAAAAACAAGAGATAAAAATGACAAGTCGGTGTAGCACTCGAGCGAAAAATCAATAAAACGCCGAGTAACCTATTAACGAAATAGATTACTCCGGACAAGTATCTCGGTAAATTTGTTTCAGCAAACTTTCAAAAGACTTAAAACGCTTTATTTGTTTATTTATGTATTGGTGTATCCCTGGGTTTGATCTTATTAACAATCCAGTTTGTGGTAAGTTTAAGTTTGATGGAGGCCACATGATGCACATGTTATTTCAAGGTATATGGAACATCGTAATCATAATATTCAAATTGAGAACAATCCTTGTGTTGCGGGAAAATACATTTATTTGATACACGAGTCAGTGATGAGGAAGATACGTTTTGGATTTGTTTTTCAGACAGGAAGTTTAAATGTTATATGATTTTGCGTGTGCTTATTGTTAATCGCGGTCTTTTCTATGGACACAGAACCAGGTTTAAATGATTAAAAAGAAAGATAGTTCATAGATATATATAATATAACTTCTATAAAGAAGCACAAACTAACGTCAGGTAAATACAATCATAACGCTTAGGTCATAACCATACCTATACATTACTATCACTAACTCAGGTTGCATGACTCCTTATTGTAAATATGCCTAACATTCGGCCTGTGACGTAACATGTATTAAACATAACCTTACCAACGTTACATTTGATCTATGTGACCCTTGATCATGACCTTTGACTTACCTAAATCTAACGGTGATCTTTAATCGAGCCGACCTACATTTGGTTGGTCGTGACAGTTGATTGACATGGTATATTACAGGGCCGGTATTCATGAAGCGATTCTTATGTTAAAACATGAATTCTGTGCTCGAGTAAATTTCTAGTAACCCACTTAAGTCATGTTATATGGTCAAAAAGTCAAGTGTAAACTTTGAAAATAGCATTTAGCTTTCCGTTTCTACAAAATAGTTCCATATCTTGGAAAAATAGGTAATTTTATTATTAATTTTTCACGGTAAAAAATATTGGGCTTGAGCACAGAATCTGAGTTTGAGCATGAAAATGGTTGCATCTATAAATAAATATTTACCTAATCGGTACTGAATATTAACGACCACCACGTCTCCTTCTAGTGCCAGGTTGGTGCCATCAAGGAGAGGAGCAAGACCGATCCCGTATTTGAACGCCCCTCCGTGAATAAAGAACATGACTGGTTTGGTGTTTGATTGTTTGGCTTTCGCTGGACTGTAAATGTTCAAGAACAGACAGTCCTCTGCGACATGAAACAATAATTAAAAATTGTTTGTAACACGTTTTTCATCGGTTTGTGTTTACAGTCTTTCAAGTGATGGACCAAAAAACTAAGAACTTGGTTTGACGACGTTATACATAAAGTACTATTTTTTTCAGAAAAAAAGTAGTCATCTGTCAAAATATCATCTGCAACCATGTTTCTTGATTTTAGAAATTCGGGCATTAGATTTGATTTTAGAACTAATGATATAGAAATATTCCTACTGATGATATACACATGGCCTTATTAGCGTCATTATTTGAATGAGTATCTGTCAATGAGCATGTAGAAAAATCTGGCTTAACAAGAATGGCGCGTCACTGGACGCTCACGGGGATTTGAATCACTGCATCTGATTGATCAACATACAAATAATTGCGCCATTCATAAAAAAATACAATAGAAATTTTCCTTTCTAACTTTATTATTAAATTATAAGGATTGGACAAGACAATAAAATGGTCTATCGATGTGTAAACCGAAAACCGAAAGAAACAAAGGGGTAAAAGTTCTGTTAGGAAAAGGTCAAATATAATATGAAAAGGCAAAGCCTTAAAAGAGCGAAGCTTCTGTTGATCTCTGATATTTACTGATTTAGAATGAGATAATATTGCTTTCAGAATAAGGCAAGATAAAATCTATTTAAAAGCTAGTCGAGGGATAACAATAAAACATAAACTCTAATGCGATTAAGACCGACATAACAATAGGGCACAAATTGATATTTCAATAAATTCTTATCGTACAGCAATATAGTGGTGCGTGCTTGGCTTGACTTTTATGTACATGTATATCATTTGAAGCTGTCAGTGTGTTATACGTTTGACCGTAAACAAAAATTGTGAAAGTTCGCATAACTAGAAGCGAGATCATGATTTTTTTTCTCTAAATTAATTTTCTCTTGTTAAGTAATTTTACATTACAGTTTTCCTTGCCATTTTTTCTTCTTGTGATTGCCCAGCCAACTAAACTGCTAAGATCTTTAAAGTTGTAAATATTAGCTCAAAAACAAAAATATCAGCCCCGAACTAGCCCCAGTCTCCCGTATGTAGATTTTTTGCATCGTTGATGATTGGTAAAAATGTATTCACAATATAATTTTTGCATCAATGACGCCATTTTCAAAGCTAAAGCAGATATTTGTTCTTGTGCGTATCGTATATGATTGGTCGGGTGGCGCAATGGATAGCGCACTCATCTTCACCAAGATGACCAGATTCAATCCTGGTTACTTTCATTTCATCATATTTTATTGATTAAACAATAGGATTGAACAGCAGGCTAGGCCTATATAAGTTCTCTCCTTAGGTTGACATGACAAAGACAAAGATGAATGAAATGGTTTGTAAGAAAATATTGATGCAAATCATATATAATAGGTAGCATAGACATATATATATATATATAGCAGATGGTATAGGGGAGATAATTCCATGTATGTTTCAATTACATATAAATATTTAATTGATATTTTTAGCTATACAATGCTCATATTAAAAAGTCAGTCATAATTAATTAGTAATAGGAAAGCAATGCCCTAATGATATATTAAACAGAGAAATTGCTACAATTGTTTTTTTGTTTTTTGTTTTGCAAGTCATTAGTGCCCCCTGTTCATACCCTGCTGCTGTTGCATGAAGTATAGAACCATTTAGTATCAATATATATATCATTGGTAGGAGTGATAAAAAGTAAGGGATACAACAACATCAAAATATGAAAAAATAAAATGAGGCAATTCAGCTAGAAGATTTTGAAAATGTAGTATATGTGTAAGATGTATTGCCAGTGTTCTATGTGTAAATCTTTCATCCCATCGAGTTTCAGACAAAAAGTCTCTAACGGCCTTTACCGTTCACATATCATCCACTCGAGAAGAATCCAGATTAAACCACAGAACACTAAGCATTCAAACTTAGCACATTTATGTTTTACTTTATTGCACCCATCAGTAAAAACAGCTTACAAAGCTTAATCCTGGTTACTTGCCCGACCACGCCGGTTTTTCCGGATACTCCGGTTTCCTTCCACATTAAGAATTAAATCCTCTGTGTGCTTCCGTCAGGTCACAAAAAGAATGATTGAAATAAGGTGAGAAAAAACTGTTTGGTAATTGCTATAGAAAAAAGTGCATATTACATATTTGACGATAAGTCTATAAAAATAAATGTATATAGATGTTGGTTAAATTTAAAAAAAACCAAAAAAACATTGTAATACTTTGATGTAACTGAGATTGTCGTTATATCGATATTTAGAATTCCTGTTCCATCCTGAAACACCGGATTAAATTTCAAATTTTGTAACTGTCAC